TTAGGGTTTAGAGTTTAGGGTCTGGTAGTGTTTAGGGTTTAAGTTTTAGGCTGAAGGCCGCTTTGGGCACCCTCAACTCAAATCAAACCCCTGAGTTTTTCGGGGAACGGGGGGTGTGGGTGAGACTCCCTACAGAGAGCCCAAATCCATTGGAGGAGGCGAGATTTCACCACAGCACCCTGGGGGCCCGCTCCCAGGATGACTCTTTCGAGGTGTGGGGGTCACTGGGCGGGAATAGAGGAAGTCCGAATAGCAACCTCTGACCGCTTCGGCCGGGGCCGAGGCGAATGTAGAACTTCACTGCACTGTCAACTGTCACTCACTACAGCAGGCACCAACGTGCTCTTTTCAGATTGCTTTGACCCATGTCACAGCGAGTTTGGCATCCATGATCAGCGGTGAGTCATGAAATCACGAGTGCAGCTCCAGCTCGAACCGAAAACAAGAAGTTTAACATTTAGGGTTTAGGGGTTTAGGGTTTAGGGATTAGGGTTTAGGGGTTTAGGGTTTAGCGATTAGGGTTTTATGAGATCTGAGAAGCTGCTTTGTACTTAGGCTTCCACTGTTTTTAAGCTCGGCGGCCAACCCTCTACGTACACGCACAGGCCGAGCTTCAATCTATACCCTAAACCCTGATTCCCCCGTAATACGTGGCTCTCAGGGCTACGCAAATTGGCTCAACCCTTGAGGCGGCTGACAACGTAGGGCTCTAGGTTTCGGTTTCTTGGAAATGGGATTAGGGGCTAGGGTTCAGGATTTAGGGCTTTAGGGCTTCATAGGGTTTAGGGCTTAGGGTTTAGGGCTCCATAGCGTTTAGGGCTTAGGGTGACTTAGGGTGTAGGTTTTGTTACCTGGCGGTTGCAGGATCTACGTTGCAATCTGGCTTCCACCCCCTTGGGAAACGCAACTCCCGACCAGAGTGCCAAGCGACCGACTCTAGAAGCAGTTCAGGGCTCCTTAGTACGCTTTCCTGGTGGTAAGTCTTTAAATAAAGCGTAGGCTTTATAGGGTTCCTAAACCCTACACCCTAAAGCCTAAACCTTAAGGAACTGACACCTCCAAACCCCCAGACCAGCCGGAAAGAGACTCAACTTGCATGCCCCGAGCCGCCGGAAGCTCTCGCCCTGCCCCCCGAAAACTGCAAAACAGCAGGAATTTTTGGGTTCGACCTTAAGAACCTCCCTGTTTAGGGTTCCTTACCATGATTTCCTCATATAAGTCCTTTAAAAGATAAGCAAGAAGTTTGGGTTCGAGGGTTTAGGGTTCAGGGTCTTCCTGGACCCTTAAGCAACCTCCCTTGTTCAGGGTTCCTTGTTATGAGTTCCTTATATAAGTCCTGAAAAAGGTAGGTTCTTTTGGGGTCTAGGTAGGGTTCAGAGTTTGGGGTCTAGGGGTTTAGGGTTCAAGGCGTAGCTGAAACAGCTGAAAACACACACACCTCGAGGTTTGCAACCTGCTGCATTCAGCCGATTGACATGGTGAAGGTCCGTATCCAGCTGACTGCGGGGACCGCGGAGGCCGAGAGTGGCTTGTTCTCTACCCATAGGCCCCCAAGCAGTTCCTTTTTGTGGTTCACATTCAGAATCCTGTAAAGTTTTCCCCAAAAGGAACTACTAGGGGCCTATGGGTAGGTTCCCCTAAACCCTAAAGCCCTAGCCATCCAAACCCCTAACCTCCTAAAGAGCCCTTGAAGGAATCACACTGTCTAACTAAAGCCGTACACCCTTATAGAAAACCCTCAAATCCTCACCTCCAATGACTCCAATGTTGATGTTCCTGCGTGGCTCTTGTACAACAAGGTCATCGGGCTTATGCTTTGGGCCAATTAGGGTTTAGGATTTAGGGCCGTAGGGTTTGAGGTAAGTCCAGACAAAACTGACAAAACCCTGCCTGCAGGGACTGCAACTGAGACCGTGTGATTTCCTGTCGTTCCGTCTGGACCAGATTTCATGTGGTTCAAGAGTTCAAGGTTCCTGGGCTGGAGCAGGTTAGATCCTTCGAATGGTGTCCGGCTTGGGGCTCCCGAGCTTGAGTCTCTGTGTAGGCATACCTACAGAGGAGATGCCAGATATCGCAAGTGCACAGAGACTTGAGTCTGCAAGGTGCTGGCCGACATGGGGTACCCCAAGCCCCAACCGGCTTAGGGGAATAACCCTAAACCCTAAACCGTATGCAGCATGTTGGACCTCAAACTGTGTGCAGGCAGCTGGGCCCGTCACCATCGTCCCTGGCTCAGCCCTTTCAGCTGCTATGCCTAGGCTTGTAGCCTAAAATCTTCAACAAGACCGCGGGAAGTGAATGAAGGACTTTGATGCTTGAGCTGCCTTCGTAGCTGTTGGGCAAACTGCTCTCGAACGTATGAATGTAGGATTGAGGTTCAGGTGTTGATTTAAGGTTTGGGGTTAACTTGCGATGGGGGAATGTGGAATGCTAGCTAATGCGCTGACAGTGTCCATGCCAGGTGGCTTGAACCAGACCACAAACAGATTCTCGGCTCTAGATGTGAAGCCTTGTTTGTCTAGCTGACGGAGTCTGCTAGAAACATGACAAAACTGCCCACACCGGTTCAACCCACAGCACCAAACCCTCAAAAGCCTTCGGTCTTAAAGCCTCTAAACTCGAAACCTCCACAGCCCTCCTCTTTAGGCGGGAAATATGCTCAAGAACGAGGGCATTGCCGCCTTCTATACGGGCCTCACCGCCGGTTTGACACGCCAGGCCGTTGATTTGAATTTGCTTTGAGTTGAGTTTTCCGGTTCCTTTGAGGGTTCCTTTTTAAGGATTCCTGTAAGGGTTCGTTCCTTTCAGAATTCCTTTAAGGGGTTCCTTGAAGGCTTCCCCTGAGGGGATTCCTCTATGGGTTTCTTTTAAAAGGTTCCTTCAAAGGTTCCTCTAAGGACTCCTTTGGGGGGGGTTGTTTGCATAAGGGTTTCTTTAAGGGTTCCGCTAAGGGCTCTCTAAGGGTGTTGGGGGTCACGGAATTCTACCGCCAAACTATACAAGCCTCATTCCAAAATTCAAGCCCCATAGTCTGGAGAACCTAGCAAGCTTGAGACGGGGCCCAGTGGCTGTAGAAGCTCCAAGCCAATCGAAAGAACCGTTATGATATCTGAAACTTAGCTGTTCTCTGCGATGTAGTGGGTTTAGAATCAGTTTAGAATTTAGGGCATGTTTGCTACCCGGTGTCGTTGATGATTGGGCTGTCCTAACCGTAGAATAAAGGGCAGTGCTGCTTCGGAATGAAGACTCGGAGGAATTTTGCTCTAGGTTTAAGGGTTTTTTTTGTTGTGGGCTGCAGGCTGTTATGGCTTAAGGGTCATATTGCGTAACGGTTTACCCCGAACCTTCTAAAAAAAGAATAGCTAGACTCTGACATCCGAAAGGCCCTGTTCATCCCGAAGCTTGCATCCCAGCATCCCGGAATCCTAAGCTAAACCCAGAAAGCCCTAAACCCTAAGAACCCCTCTAGAGCCCTTGCAGATGTGTACAAGGGAAATACTGAGCGTTGCAGCAGTATGCCTAGTTGAGGTGCCAGGTCATGAGAAAAACAAATAGGCAAGCAAACAAACAAACAAACAAACATACATACATACATACATACATACATACCTATGTACATACATACATACATACATACATACATACATACATACATACATGCAACTAGAATATATATATATATGTATAGATGTATATATGTATTTATATGTATTTACATATAAATATAAATATATATATGTATGTGTGTATGTATATATATATATACATATATATATATATCAACAGCAAAAAAAGCAGCCATTGCTTGCTGCCCCAGATGCTGCCAGGTTCACTGAAAGCTCCTTTCAGAGCATGCTGCTTCGCAGCCATCTTTACAATATTTTATTACATCAAAAATCCCTACATGATGCACCGGAGTAGTTCCAGCGCTAGCCAGTCGAGTGCACCATAGATGAGAATCCCAGGCCAGAGCTGTCCGGCATTGACAGACATCATCTCACTGTTGGGGTTAGAGTCTTGGATTAAGCTCACTCCGAGGGTGGATTGTAGTCTCCTGCACGTCCTCACTGATCTGATCCTCGCAGAGGATTTCGTCCTTGATCGCCTGCACCCGCATCTTGCGCAAGGTGGTCCTGACATGAAACGACTCGCAACAACTTCGACCAGCGGCTTCCTTCAAGGCTTTTCGACAGCCGTGTAAGGAAACGATCATGGATCACAAAGAAGCTCGCAAGGAGGTTCGTAATGCCAAGGTTTGGCTGGAGATCTACTATAATATGCTATACTGTGCTACACCATAATGCTCGTGAAGCTGGCCTGCAGAATGGTCTCGAGTTGCGCAGTCCGCACAGAAAGCAAAGAGCGAACGAACATGTGATGTCAGCTCTCCGCAGTCCGTGGCAGCTCATGAAAGAAGAACCTGGGAGTGTCGGGCATTAAAACCGCTGAATATCGTGATAGTGCGAATAGGGTTCAGGGGTATACTAATGCTGCTGATATAGGGTTTAGACGGGGATCTGATTGCTGATTGCTCCGACCCCTAGCTACACTGTGTGTTCTGCTGGAACGCTATTCTAAGCTTCACGCGGCGCTCGAAGTTCAACTACCATGGGCTGTTAGGGTGTATAGGGTCTAGGGGCCTGAAGCAATTGCGGCCGTAGCTGCCCATAGCTAAAACGCACTGTGAACTCTTAACTGGAAGAAGGATGCACCGTCACCGCAGACGGAATTCTGTCGGAAGGTCACCAGGAACCGTTCCAGAGCCAGGAACTTCGAAAAGATCCCGTCACTTTGTTTTGCAACTCCAGATAGGGTAGGATCCCGATTACCCCGGCTCAGCCCCGAGAGGGTGACGGGCTTAGCCACATGGGTAGTTTTCTAAAATAGGGTCCCTTTCAGGGTCCTTTTTAAAATTGGGGACCTAAAAATCAAGCACAAAACAGGCGGAGGCCAGGGCAGGCAAGTCTAGAGCACAAGCAAAAGCAGAACACATGCCTTAGATTTACATAAAGCCCTTTTTTTGCACAGACTTGTACATGCCCGCCTGGATCTCCGAGCTGCTGCACTCGTGGCAGAACAACTATGCATCTAAACCCTGCACCCTGAACCTCCTCTAAGTCCCGTGCCCCTTCGTTCGAGTCCTTCTCGTGGCGAAGCTGTAAGAAAAGGTGAATCGAACTGATGACTATATACGCATAGGTAAGCATACTCACAGTAGAAATAACCCCCGGACTCTTCCATGCCAAAGCAGAAACCCATAACCCAGAAGTCCCACCCGCAACAAAGAATGGCTGCCGTGGAATTGTCATCCTAGTGGCGAAGTGGCACGGAAGTCGGACTCCGTGCGGTTGAAAGCCTTCAAACCATTCAAACCTTTCAGGGTGGCATTGAGTTTGAGAGTTTTCGCTTTTTCTTTCAGCAAAGTCCGTCCATCGTTATTTTGGTTCTCAACCTCAGCACTGTCGGCCCCTCAAACAGACCCGGGGCCTGGCAGACTTCCATAAGTCGTCTTCAGCATCAGAGGCTTGGAGAGGCTAGTAGATGTGGTCCATCCTGTCTTGCGGCTCTGGGAGAGGACTCGGGCGTGCCAACCACCACAGTGAAGTCAAGAGGTCTATCTCTGGACAAATGGATACACATGTCGTCATGATTGCTCCTATGAGCCTGAAGTTAGACTCTCGACATTTCAAAACCATACAGAATCCGTACTGAGATACCTCTCCCTTGCGAAGCTAAGCCATTGGCCGCTCTGCAGCGTTGACTTGGAGCTATCGGACAGCATCGGTAGCCGTGGCTTTCTTGTGCGAGCAAGCCTGAGTGAGAACACTCATGAGCTCAGGGCTGTAGAATTGTAGGATGTTTCTGCGATGCGGGGACGGGGGTTTGGGGAAGGGTCTTCAAGTAAACCGAGGTCTAAACTTCTGCAGAGTTACGCAGGGCCATTCGGGTTTAGCTTGGGCTTACGGGTGTAAGGTGAGCTAGGATAGGGTTCCTGGCCTGTCGTAATAACACACACACACACCCGCGCACGCGCACACCCATAAACGTGTAAACGCACACAAACACACAATCGTATACAGAAGTAGCTGCATATGTGCATGTATTTATGCATGCATGCATGCATGCATGCATGCATGTATGTATATATATATATAAATGCATTTGTTGTGTACGTATATCTAAGCCTATACCTGTACCGTTACCTACATCATCCTATATCTATGTCTGTGTCTATGATGTCTACACCTACCTACCTACCTACCTACCTACCTACCTACCTACCTACCTACCTACCTACCTACCTACCTGTCTGTCCATCTATCTATCTATCTATCTATCTATCTATCTGCCTACCTGTCTTTCTTTCCATCTGCAAAATGTATGTATATACTTCGGGATACATGTATGTATGTGTGTATGTGTGCATATGTTTGTGTGCATCTATCGATCTATCGATCGATCTATCTATCTATCTATCTATCTATCTATATATACATACATACATACATACATACGGATCTGTGCATCGAGTGAGGGAGGGAGAGAGAGAGAGAGAGACACTCTCGGCTTGTGGGTGCGCGTGTGGGTGTGCGCGTGCGTGGGTGTGTGTGTGTGTGTGTGTGTGTCCGTTTAGGCGAACAGAATGTGCAACACACACACACACCCCACATACATATGTCGTGTGTGTGTGTATATGTCGGGGCCATGTATTCAAAATACTGTTTCCGGGAGCTGTTCCGGGGCAAAAAGTATTACTATATATATCGTCCTACAGTCGGGTATGGGCCATGGTTCCGGGGGGTCAGCAGTTAAAGGCAAGGGGATATATATATATATGTATGTATGTATGTATGTATGTATGTATGTATATATGTACATATATATATATATTACTTATTTATTTGTCTATTCATACATAATGTATAAGACTGGAAGGACTGCGAGATAGATTGGAGCTGTACTCACAGCAATGAGTGCTTTCGTGCTTTAAAGCTTCAGGGTTTCACACCCCAAGGTTGCAGGTTCAGGCTTTGGATTGCTTTTTAGATGCTGTTTCCCTGCCCGGACCTGGGACATAGGGGTACCAGCGGCTTCTGTCAAGTTCATCGAGTTTGCTAGTGCTAAGTGGAAAGGCCGGGAACCAGGAGCCAATCCCTCAGCTCCAAGGAACTCCTGCAATCGCTGCGAGATCCTCGGGGGCTTCTTCGGGGCAACCTGGCACTTCTTAGGCATAGTTTGCGAGGATTCGCTGGCCGAGGTGGGACGGTGCAGCATTCAATGCCATAGGGTAGATCTCGAGTCAAGAAATGCCGGCGTTTTAAATGTCATCCCATGGACATGGAGGTGGGAAGAGATCGGTAGAAAACGGGAACTACGAATCTCAAACGCAGCAGCAATACATCTCTCATCAGGAGAATCCGAATCGCAGGCCTGTTCAAGCTTTTCCGGCTTCTGTTCGTCCTCGGAGGTGTCTTCTTCGTCTTCCTTTGCAGAAAGGACGAAGGTTTCCCTTCAATGTTATTTTTTGAACTTTTGTGTGGAGCTGAGCCAAACCTCATACGCTGCAGTTCAACGTTTAGGAGTCACTTCCATGACTCGGGTGCCTACGAAGATTCCACGATGCTAGGCGCCTCTGTCCTAGGTGAGGCTTTGGGCTTCTCCGAACTTCAAGGCCCCTGATTCGCACGCGGGCCGCCTGATAAGCTTTCGATTCATAAGCTAAGAAGGACGGGTCCACTTCCGAAACAGGCACACGCACATGTTCCGTGCGCGCGTATGGCACAGACATGTATACAGATGTTTTGCGGCGATATACGTGTCTGCATGTGTACAGATGCATACACATGCAGGTGTACAATGTACAAGTAGCTGCACAGACTTATCTATTCAGTCTCTGCATCTTAGGAGAAAGGAGTTGCTTCTATGGTGCATGATTACAGGCCGTTGGCCTCACGAGCCCGAACCCTTTCAGCCACGCCGCCCAAAGGTCAAGGAACGCGATGTCCTGCAACGTCACACTGTCCTGCGGGCAGAGTATCAGGACCTATTTTTGTATTGTATAGCTTGCAGATTGCGACATCAAACGATCTGTAGCAACCTTGTTAACCCCACAGCGCGGAAATCCTGAAATGCACCCTCGAAATGAAGATAGCCTTACAAAAGCAAGCCCAGGATTCCGCTTGGTTAGGTCGTCCTGCCCACCGCCACTGAGAGTGGTAAAGAGAGCCTTGCAGTCGCCGCGAAAGCCATACCTCTCCCGCGATCTAGGGGCCTTAATAATTAGAATAGGGCTTTGGGGCATGTTATACTATAATCATAACCAGGAGCCCCCAAATATACTTATTTGGGCTTCTATATATTAGAAGTGGGTAGTTCTGGGCTTGCCTTTGCACATGCAACCCGAGAGTCGTTGACAATCGGAGCATTCCAACAGTAGGGGCCGGACTGCCAGCAGGTCTAGGGCCCTAAACCCCTGCTTCTGCTGTCTGCCAGGGGCACTTGGAGCCTTCCTTAAACGACGGTCCAAGTCCATTTTGTGGAGTTTAGAGTTCGGAGTTGGCCGTGTAGTTTTGCCCCCTGCCTAGCTTGCATGGCCAGGTCGACAACAGGCACATTTGAAGCGATGTTATGTGTCCAGGGGCCCAGGGGGCTGGGGGTCACTTGGGCATGGAGTGCATGTATCAATTGCGCGTGAAGGTATGTCTCGCTGTAGCTTTAGACAGAGTAGCTTATCTGCATCAGCCACAGCGAACTTGACCTCAAGGTTCTGGAAACCCAAACCCTGAACAACCCTCAAGCACAAAAACGACAGATTCACAAACATAGGCAACCTGAAAGACCCTGAGTCGCAAAGCCCGAACAACTCGAACTCCGCGCTTTAGTAAATTAGGGCTTCAGGGTGCAGCTAGGGCTTTAAGGATTGAGGATTTACGGTCCAGGGTTGCACAAGAAGTCTGGATAGCTAGTATATGAAATCTAGTATTTGATAATGTGCGAATATGGCCAGCTCCTCTAACTAGACTATAACATAGCCCATATAGCCCTATAACCCTGTTCCCATTGTTCAGGCCCCTACATGCACCACTGAAGACATGGCCCTGGGTCGAGCTGCGAGCGGAGCATCTTGACGAACTCTCGCTGTGTGAAGCCACCCGACTTGTCCTCCGCTCAAAAGTGTGTTTTTGGAGCTCTTTTGGTTTTGGAAGTTGGACTGACGTGCCAGAGGGTCCACAAACCTGGACCCTCCACCCACGGGTTTGTTTTCAAGGATTTAGGGCTCAAGTGTCGGGCTTGGGGCGTTGTTCTTGGCTTCTGGCTCGAGCTATCCCGTTTCGGTAGGGTTGGGTTAAGGGGCCATAATCCCTGAACTCCTATTCTAGGTTTCGGGAGCGTCGGGTGTAGGTTGCTTCCTCTTGAAATTTTATTTCATGCCACTCGCAGCTTTTGAAGAATCATGCCAACTTCGGGTGGCATGGGCCTAGATACCGCTATACTTCCAGAATTACATGATTGCATCCTCAGCCTAGCCATGCCTGATTCTTGGTGTAATCAAGTTGTTTCTTTGACTAAGCGATGAAGATTGCCTCGTGTGGGCATGCTTCTTTCTTGGGGTTAACGGGTTGTGTCAAATTTTGAATATGCTGAATCGGCATCAGTGCCAGCTCTCTACTCTGTCAAATGCACATCTGTGGCCCGGTTACATGCAAACGCACTATTCTGCAAAACAGCAGGGAGTTGCCAGTCTGTAAATCTCTTCCGGCATCACAGAGGCCTGGTAGGGCCTGGGGGGTGGAGGGTGGGGTTTTGGGGAAGGAGGCCGCACCTTCCGCGTCGAACCTAGGGACCTTAATACTTACAATAGCACATAATTTCACATTATGAAGCCTCAATACAAAGCTCACAGTTGGTCCTCGTCCAAGATTTCGAACGCAGCCCGGACACCACCGAACTCCTCCACAGGATTTCTGACATCTTCCGAAGCTCATAGTCATGACCATGAGATGATGATGAAAACGATGCAAACGACGCAGATTTGACGAAACTGAAAAGTGTCACGAAACTCTGAGGATGAAAATGATGATGGTGCTGATAGCAGTGAAAAGGTCGTCCATACATACAGATGATGATCACGGAAGTATAGAAGCTGCGTGTCGCAGTCTTGTTTGTCTTCGCAACCTGCTGAAACACAATCAACATACCATTGCCATCACTATCGGCAACACCACGAGCACTACGGACAAAAACACCAACTACAACAACATCCCCACCACTGTCATCAACACAGCCATCATCGCTGACATTGATGCCATGTTCATCCTGATACTGATCAGCACCACCAACATCGGGCACGATTGGCCTCAATGGAGGGCAAGCAATGGTCTTTGCACCATCCGCCAGTGTGTTCCGGTGCATGAAACTCATCCACAAGAACGGACATCTCTGCCAAGCCTGCAGCAGAACATGCGTGGTTCGTACCAAGACTAGACACTGTGGATGAGCTTCTGGAGTGGCCAATAAAACAGCTTTCCTGCAAGATCTTTGTGAAGATCGGCATTCTCGCGCACGCCGACACAGGGTCTCCCGGACCCAAACCTGGGCTAACCGTTGCCTGGCCTTCTTCTCAACGTTTCCCTCCAGGAGCCGCAAGAGAACGGCTTCACCTTGAAACGAGGCTCTATGAAGGTACATCCGATACCTCCATCGCCGCAGACATGCATGCGCCACGCGGAAACTTTTGCTCAGCACGAAGTACACATCGTCTTCAAAGCCGACGTCGACGGACTTGCTGTAGGTTCCGGGCTTGCCAGGTAGGGCAGTCTCATAGAAACCACGCCAGATCCGTGTCTTGCAACCAAGCTTGGCGTGGGCACAAGCTTTGCACCAGCGAGCTAAATGCAAGGCCGAGAACGCGGTCGGCTCCGAAATCAGCTGACAGCGCACGGCTCCACGAGAGCATCGTGATCCGGCGGGCAGAATGACACTCCCAGCCCCAGCCCCAGCGCGGCCAGCGCGGAGAATTAGTCTATCCCAAAAATCATCAACACCACTAAACCAGCACCATCATCATCACGATCATCATCATGTTGGCTGTCGTCGTCGTCATCACCATCATCATCATCGTACTCATCAGCAGCATCATCTTCGGCATCGTCGGAACCTCTGACAACCCTTTGTGAACCTGAGACTGAACACCTCTGGAAAACAAATGCGGCACATAGAGCTCCATGCAGGCAACCCGTCAGGACCCCAAACTTGTTGACTTGTGGGACCAACGAAGCTGCTGAAAACCTACATACAACCTCTGCGGGTCGGCGTGCCTAAAGGCGAGTGTCACTTCCGGCAAAACATTGCCAAAGGAACCTTATCACCACCACAGAAGGCACCTGATAACAAGATATAACAAGGAAATTCTGATGACAAGATGTATAGGTAGAACCCGATCAACACCGACTCCTCGTCTGCCCAGGCTTTGAACTCTTCAAGGATCCTTATAGGATCATGCGGTGAGGTCTGAGGTCTACAACGAGGCTCACAGGATCTTCGGATAGAAAACACCATGTGACAAACGTGTCCCAAATCATGCTGGCTAGACTTGTCGAGGCGCATGAGAATTGAATGCTTTATTGGGCAGGGCGGGCGGCCGGCCTGTATTGCCGCAACCGCTGGAACAGCAAAGAACCGTCGGACCCCCATATGCCCCAAATGTTTGCAAAGGTTCGCTCCACCATGCTACATGTACCAAGGAACCCCGGGGAGCGATCCGGCAAACACACCACTTACTCGATACAGGCTATATACCGCTCTCCTCCCAGAACGCGCGCAAGATCCCATTGTACTATAGTAGAAGTAAGGATCAAACGCAGCCAATGGACAACTGCCACATACATCTGGCGCTGCAGCACTTTACACGGAATATGCGGCTTGAAGGTCCGCACAAGCTTTGGGGACCAATACGCGAAATCCTCAGCCCGGAGGCCTTATGCCCCAAACTCCAAAACTCAACGCTGAAATCCGGAAAATGCCTATTTGATGGACTGGAAAACGCACTCAAGCCCTTTCGAGGTGCAACGCCAAGGTGCTCTGAAGCCAAGGGATCGAGCTCCCGCAAAGAAATGCTGCCGGACACATCCTAGCAGCTGTCCGAGGTTAGCTGTATTCTCGGCTGAGGAGAGGCAGGTTCTTATAAGGCGCGTTCAGGCGTGTGGTGACCACGTCTTCACGGGCCTGCGGGTTTTTGGACCTTGAGCTTTAGGGTCCGGGGCTTTCGGGTTAATGGTTACTGGTACCGGATCTCCTCATCAAAGCAGCGCCACGCCCCGGCGAGGTCGCCTTCGAAGTCGATCCGCTTCGCTGCGCTCCTCAGGGTTTTAGGGACGTCGGACCCTAGAGTATGTATAGCAGGAAAAGCAGCTGCAGTCGCAGTAGCAGTAGCAGTAGCATTAATAGCAGTAGCAGTCGTCGTCGTAGTATAGTCGTAGTCGTATATGGTGGTAATAGTAGGAGCACCAGCAGCAGCAGCAGCTGCCGTCGCCGTCGTCGTGCGCGTCGCCGTCGTTGTTGTAGCGGCAGCAACCAGCAGCAGCAGCAGCAGCAGCAGCAGCAGCAGTAGAAATGGTACTGGTGCGGTAACCACAGAAGAGCAACAGTGGTGGAGTAGTGTCCAGCGGTCGGAGCACGATGAGAAATAGTGTCAGTACTTTCTTCTTCCTAGCTCTGATTATCGGTAATTCAATTACTCGCCTAACAACGACCGTAAGCGCCTGGGCTCAGGTTCGGAGAACACACATCTGGCCGTGTCGACACTTCACATGGGGTACTCTGAGTACTCTTTTCCTTAACTGAAGAACCCAGCGTCTCGAATTCGTCCCACGCCACCACCTTGGCTGTTAAATCACAAAGGGGCGTTGATTGAGTCGGCTTTGTCTTGCTGTGCTAGAAAGTCAGCACGCCACATCTCGAATTTGGCAAAGCGTCGCACTGATTGTCAGCCGAATGCTCAGGGTTTGGGTTGAGCGGCACTGGTGCAAGAGTTACCGACCATTGGACCAACCGGAAAGGTGTAGTAGCAAAGGTGCCGCAACCACCGGAATGAAAGAGCGAAACACAACCCAAACTCAGTTGGGCATTCCGGGCATATGGGTAGTTCTCAAAAATCGGATCCCTTTAGGTGTCCATTTGCTATATTGGGGGACCTAAAAGCAGACCCTAATTCAGAGAACTACCCATATATAAACGGGACTCTCAGTCCCACAGATGCCTGAGGCCTTGACTAGGGCCCTTGAGGGTCTGGCACCCAGCTTGGGAAGCTTAAGCCAAGTCGGAGCACTTTTTGGGGTAGGCTTAGGCAGTATATAATGTAATTGCCGTGCCCCACCCCAGCCCTCCGTAGGTAGTAAGTGCCATAAGTTTTTGTTGAACGAAAAGTTGTCATGAGTATTCCCTGGACCCCAATTCCTACCATAACCCTGGCTCAGACTCTAAGCCGTTTCTACGATCGGCACCCCACCCCCACACACGCGGATCAAAACAACGCACGAAAACGACAAAATCCTGAGCTCACCTTAAGCTTCCCTAAACCCCATACCCTTTTCAGCACGGACTGCGCTGCCCTAAATCCTACTAGACCCGATACCCTAAACGCTACAACCTAAACCCTAAACCCGATACCCTAACCCCATACCCTAAACCCTAAACCCAAACCGACACGGAGGGACGGGAGCAGGAAATGCCAAGAGCCTCCTGGAACTCTAGCCATTAGCTTCTTGGAGACATAAGGCTTCCTACTACTACATGTCGGGAGTTTAGGGTTGAGGGTTTAGGGTTACTAGGGGGCTACTACTAGGGTATCATGAGGGTTTTATTCACCATTTATCGGGTTCCTTCAGGGTGTTCTTGAGCTGTTAGCTTCCGTCCAGGAGCATTGCTTCCATCCCGGTCCAGCAGCTGGCGCCAGGCGGCGAGGTAGGACGGATACCTTGCAGTCAGGGATCGAGGAGGGTTTAAGATGTTTGGCTTAGGGCTTCGGGTTTATATAAGGTATCGATTCTCGCAGTTTGGGCAAGCCGGGCGAGGCGTCTGTGGGCGATTTTGGCTGAAAGTCCTTGGATTGCTTTAAACAGCTGACGGATGCAGTAGAAGCTCGCTTTGGAAACATCCTGGGGATCATTGTCATAGGCTCCTCTCTTATTAGCCAAATGCTTGGGTAGTAATGCCCGAGTATATCTCGATTCAAGTTCATGGGTGCCTGATGGTGCCTGACTATGACGTCATGTGCTGCAATAGCGCTGCTGCCGATGTCGATCCATGAATCAGGGAGAGGCATCCGCCCCCGCCAGAGGACCCTTCAAAAAGGCTCTCCAATATTGTAAGGCTATGGGTGGTCTGCACCAAGAGGCTTCAGAAGCAGGTGCTCCTTGTACTCTTGTGCCGCCTGATCCGGGTGGTCAGCATGGGGCTCGGGATTCTGAATCTTGGCTGCGAGCTTTCGGGAGTGTAGGCGCCTTATACCCTCTGAGAGATGGCTTCTGGGATCAAGGCTTTACTTTCAACATCCGCTCCAAGATGGAGCCTCGCCCTGCCTCCCCACTCCCCTTTTGCAATCCTGCAGACCCCGCCAAAAAGCAGAACCCAGCTTCCAACGACGAACCAACCCCCTGTCCAAAAATAAACTTCCATAAACTGCCGATATGCCACATGTGACTGGTATAGCTGGTGCAGCCTAGCTGGGAACATCTGGGAAGAAACCTGTGGCCAGCAACACCAATGAATTGATTCACACACTTCATGGCTACCAGTGCATGCTTTCAGCCCGCACCGTCTCGTGCATACCTCCTGAAAATAAACAAATACATAGATTAAATCAAAAATAAATACAAAATAATAAATATTTACATATATATATACACATACATACATACATACATATATATATAGAGGTTTACTTATGTATTTACTAATTCATCATACTTATTTATTTAGCATGTTTTGCAGCGACTAAGTTGGCGGCCCAATTGTTGACTCCTGATGGTATGGTGATTGATGTATGCCAAGGAGCCCAAGCGAGATGTTACTTGTTAGGACACATTGCCACTGCTTGCCACTTCTGACGGTTACTGTTCTTATTGGTATCTATCTGTCTATCCATCCATCTATCCATCTATCTATCTATCTATCTATCTCTATATCTGTATAGATAAATAAATAAACAAATATATATATATATATGTTTGTATCTGGCAACGGCCACACATCTCTGAGGGGAGGAGCAGGCTGTGAGCTAAAGAACCCCGGAAGACCCAGTTACCTGTATCGTAGCTTACTGTCATTGGGCGGTACACACAACCCATTTGTAGAAGTGCTGCAGAGCAAGTTACTGCATTGTTCCCACCCGCCCAGCTGACCAAGTCGCAATTTAGTGCATAGGGCATTGGCACAGGATTCGAATGCGCATACGTAAATAGGCGTTCAAGCACAGCTTGATTTTTTTAGATTCCCCGGCCTGCGGATTGGACTTGCAAATCAGATATCGTGGGCAGCGCCAGGTCTCTAAGAACTTGAAGTCGTCCATGATGAGCATATTCCTGTTTAGGGTTTAGAAAAGTTCGTGGTTAGGGATTCCTTCCCACACCAAGGCTTCGTGCGACAGCTGCTGCTGCACTGTTTATACATGCTAAACCCTAACAATCCAAACCCTCATCACAAGCGACCCGGTGCACTAGGTTGGGAAGGGGGACTCCAAATTACAGGCCACGAAGCAAAATCCATGAGAATCCAAATTTCTAAGCCCCAAAAAATTAAAAGGTCGGCAATCCTAACCCCCAACACCCCAATTCCGCCAAACCTGCTAAAGCCCTTAATAGTACCAAAAGAAACTACAGATTTAGTACCCATGCCGTTCAACACAAGCAGAAACTACTGTACCTGACAGTCTCTTGAACTCAGACTCAAGCACACCGGCCAACTTGAAACATACCCGAAATGAGTCGGCCTTCCCCTGTAGACGCTAATCCTCTACACAGTCCTACAATGCACTGTAACCATCACATAAAACAATAATATATATATGTATATATATATACATATATATATATATGTGTGTGTGTAAATATAGAAATACACATACACAACACACAAGAGAGAGAGACAGAGAGAGAGAGAGCTATATATATATATGTAGGTTCAGTACCACAGACACATCGAAGACCCCCATAGGTCGGCCTGCCCTGCCAGTCCAGTCCGTGCACCAAAGCTTTGTCCACCCGGGTAATGCCTTGGCGCTTGCACTGCTGTAGGAACCTGAGCAGAGGTGGAGAGAGACAGGTTCATATGCATATACCAATGTAAGGCTCATAATATGCAAAGTTATATATATATATATGTGTGTGTGTGTGTGCGTGTGTATACATAGATAAACAGGTACATATATTCATATCTAATAACACGCACAGACACGCATAAATCAACATGAAGACAAAGTGCCCGCGCGCGCGTGTGTGTGTGTGTGTGGGTGCGTGCGTGCGTGTCTCTGTGTGTATATGAATGTACAGGTGTATGCAAACAAAGCCACTAAGAACCAAAGGACTAACTCACAAGACTTACCTAACTAAGTTGATACGCAAATGAGCACACAATGTCACACACACACACAAACACACGTGTGTGTATAGACATACACAAAATCTGTGTCTCTCGAATCTTTGTGCATGATGTCTCCGTATATGCGCACACATTCAAACAGCTTTACCCTTCTACTCGTGGATATATGTGCGTAGGCATAGATGTACATGTACTTGTCTACATATATCTACGTATGTATATCTGCATTTCTGTATGTATGTACGTATGCATGCACGCATGGCTGTATGCATGAATGTGTGAACGAAAGGACGAATGAATGAATGAATGAATGAATGAACGAAGGAATGCATGAATGCATGAATTAACGAAACAATGACTGACTGACTGAATAAATGAACGAGGGAATGAATCAACGAACGAACAATTGAAAGAGCTAACGAATGAATGCGTTAATAAATAACTTAATGAACGAAATAATCAATGAATGAATCAATGAATTAATGAATGAATGAACGGAAGAATGAATGAATGAACGAACGAATGAATGAACTAAAGAATGCATGAGAAATAATTGATGAATGAATGAATAAGTCAATCAATCAACCAATCAATGAGAGCTTGAAACGAATGAACTGAATTCTGAAAATGAACGATGAAACTGGAATGAACATTAGATGGAATGAAGCGAACTGTTGAAACGCAATGCACTGCAATGAAATCAATTGAAACGAAATGAAAATGAAATGTCAATGAACATGAAATGAACTGAATGGAATGGAATGGAATGGAATGAAATGAAACTGAAAAAGAAAACTGAAAATGAAAACTTAAATCACAATGAAAATTGAAATGAAAGGAAATTCATGAAGGAATGTATGTCTGTATGTATGTATGTCTGTATGTATGTATGTATGTATGTATGTATGTATGTGGGTGTGTGTGTGTGTGTACGAATGTAGGTATGCTGGTGTGTATGTATGCATGTATGTGCAGATGCATGCGTATGTAATTGTATGTATGTGTACGTGCATGCAGGTGCGCGTGTCTGCAAGTAGAACTAGAGGTAGGTAGGCAAGTAGGCAGGTGGGGAGAGGGAGAGAGGGAGAGAGGCAGAGGGAGAGGAGAGGGGGAGCGGGAGAGGGAGGTTGGGAGTTTGGCGCTGTGCCGTTCTTCGTCGCTTCTGCGTGAGAACCCATGAATGCATATAGTTTATTATATCAGTCTCAAGCCCAATCTCAAAGTGAGGTCTGGCGACTCCGCTCGTGTGATTTTCTTTTTGTTGTAGACATCGATCGCCTTGAAAAACTCCTCCATGCTGCCGAACCTGCATCCGGTCTTCGGAGTTGGCTGGGCATAAGGTCCAAGCGGCAAACAGAGAAGCTTGGCACGAGGACCCGGCAGAACCTCAACCCCGAAGCCTTCCTGCACTGGGCTCGTTCACTTCAGAAGACCGAGGCCCACAGTCACAGCTTCCGACGGACAATCAGTAAGAAAAAGGTTTACAGGAGCTGCGAAAGGCTTCAGATGCTATGCGTGACAAGTACGTGGTGTCCTCATATAGCTGATATAGCTCAGAAGGCTTTCGGCCCTATAGAGTCCTAACATCATCAAACGTACCCGTCCCCTTGCAAAGCACGGCTTCGAGCACTGCAGCTCTACACCTGGGCACAATGCTGGACTGATGTACTTGTTCTGTCATGCCGCTTCTCGAAACACTGCTGCCGGAACTTTGCCAGCTGCTCTGCGCTCTTGAGATCCAGCTCCTGCATGTGGGATTGTTGTTGCAGTAGCGACAGCAATTACCACAGTTTCTCCAGTGCAGGGCTTACGGTGCTCCACGAACCTTGCCCGTATTCGTCTGGGGCTCGACACACACCGCGCGCACACACACACACAAGCGAATGTGGAAACCCTAAACCCAGAACCCAATAACATGCTGCATCGCGATGCCACCTCCATCTCAAGAGCTTACCCGTGGCCTGCAGAGGCGTGATGCCACTGCCATCCTTGTCCAAGCCTTTCCACAGCAATCGGACATCACCTGCACTGTTTGGGGCAGTGGGGATTTCGATGTCTTCAGGGCCAGGGATTGAGATTTGGGTTAAAAAAAAAACATAACCGCACTAGTCTTCTATTATTGCTGTTACTTTCGCATGATTTGCCAAAACGAGCTCTGCAGGTTATCTAGAATCTAGATTTCCACATCTGGGTCTTCGATGCACCAGGAGGAGATCCTGAAGACAGGGTCTTATTGACTCAAGACTCCAGACAGAGCTAGGACACAGAAAAAGGCAGTGGCTCAGGAACATCGAAGTGTGGCGGCACTAGACCGGCAACATAGCATAACGCAGACGGTGCCTTGCCAACTGAGTTCCTTCACTGCCCGGAAGAGCTCATTCTTCTGGATGAACATAGACCTGACTGGCATCAGGTAGATCATGATGCACATGAACCCGGCAGACGGAACATCTGCGAGGCAACTAGCTTTGAGAAACAAATTCGAAACCGGTCCGCGTCCCCCAGTCGAACCTGAACCTATTAAGGCTCCTTCGCAGACCCACTGAGGAACCCAAGTACACAGCTACAGTGACTACAATAGCATATCGTATCTATGTTTCCAAAGGCGCATGGGTTACTGCAGGTATAATGTCTATACACACGAATCAACCTTGTACATGGCCGAGAGACCCATCCGAGTCCAACGAGCATCGCCACGCTTTGAGGTAGGTCGAGAACTTCCTTGTGAAATCCACTTGTGGTCTTGGCTTACATTCCTGCTGGAAGTGCTCGGGATTTCGTGGGACAGCTCGCGATGTTAAGAAGTGCAACAAATAGTGCACAGCCCATGTACATGTGCTAATGTGTCAAACATATACATATCTAGAGGCCTATTCCATTCACAAAATGTCGAAGGCCATGCTCCCTCGCTACCAGAAAAGGTTCGTGTGAAACCGCTCTAACCGCCCTTCCAGCAATTCGACAGGACACTTTCAACAGCACTGTTTTCAGTATTTACGGTAAGAATAACAATAGGACCTTGGATGTAAATTACAAACAAAAGCACGGATAGTGAGGTCCCAAGCCCGGAGCCCACCCTCAATCTGCGTGCTCCTGCTCAGCTTGAGGGCCTAAACGGTGGCCTCCTGGCCGTGCCTGCAATCACCCAATACTCCCTGGTGTCGTTTCGTAGAGCCTTCGCACAAACCTTTCCGAATTCACGCTACACCCGATCGTGAAACCCTTGCAAGACCCTAAACCATTCAGGAATGTACTATGACTATCTCTCTACATATACACATACAAGCTACAAAGCACACATAACGAAACAATCAAGCATAGACAAGTACGCACACACACACACATGCATATATGCATCTAGACACACACACACATATGTATGTATGTACGTATGTATGTATGTATGTATATATATATATATTTAACATAGTCTACATGTATACATACAGAATGTGTAAAGGCCGGAGAATCTTCTTCAGGAAGGCCTTGAAGTCAAGAACCTTTCAGCGCGTGGTTTAGCACTTAGGGCTCCAGGGTTTGTGATTTGAGGGACCTTTGAGCGCATGTGGTCTAGCAACTAGGGCTGTAGGGGCTATGGTTTCGGGACCTCAAGGGCTTAGGCAGGTTTGGGAGTTTAGGGCCTTAAGGGCCAAAGGATGGCTCACGGTTTCGGGGAGAGGGGGCTTAGGGTTGTGGGCTTCCGGGCTCGTGTATTATGAACCATCCTTGGAGGCTCTTCAGGGCTCACTGGGGAGCAATGAAGTCTAAACCCTGGCCCTTTTGAGCCCTCTATAGTTCTAGGCCCAGAAAAATTCGGGGACCCTCTTCCCCAACATCTACAGACGTAAGTAGCACGTTTGCCGAATGACTTTGTCCGAATGCGGTGGGAGTCGCACTCCCCTGGGCCTGTGCTTGAAGCTTATTCCCATATGCGGGGGTATTCAACGCACGCCTCAACTATGGAACTCTTTTACACTGACTAAATCTCTCAAGTCCCCTCCTCCATTAAGTAATCCTGGGCCCTGAGCGGCAGGAGTCAGACTCAGGTTCGAGCCAGGCACTCATCGCTTAACAGACTGTCTGCACCGACCAAAAGGTGGAGAGCACATGAGAGAAAGCCAGAGAGGGATGTAATATGTATGTATATATATATATACATACATACATACATATATATATATACATACATACACATGTGTGTATGTATATATGTATACATGTATGTGTATATGTACATGTATATATATATAATATATAATATATATATGGGTATAGTTCTATTCGCGCCCCCACTGGGTGCCCTTATGCCCATCATGATCATGGATGACGATGTTGCTAAATACACGCAAAGATGGTACAGTAGCCTTTGCTCTGCAACCTACAAGTACAGATGTGTCTGGCAATTCCACGGCCATCTGCCAGTCCTCCCTGCCGTTCCTCTACCTGTTCTTTTAATATAAGTTTGGCCTTTTCGCGTCAGACTAACCAAGGCCGCTGAACAAACGAGTGCATGCGCAGGATAGAGCCATAGAGGCCCAAGTTTTCTCATGCACCTTGAGCCTTCAAGCCGAGACGTTTGAGCTTTTCAGAATCGACCCCTCTCCACTTCCTGGCGTACAGAAGACTCTGCAGAGACGAGGGGCGGCTTGCGCCACCAACCGCCGGCGTTTCGCAAGGCGTGCTTTCAGCTTCAGTGCATCCTGCATGCCTGGGTCAGGCATTGCCGGGCTAAAGGTCGATGGGACCTAGTCTACAGTAGGGCTTTCATCCTCTGGCTGTGTCATGCAGCTTCAGGGTGGGAGAAGTGCGTACTATCGACGTGAGGTTTCCCTCTCGGGCACTTTCTGACTTGTCTTGAGATTGGCAGTGTGTTCAATCAAACGCGGGGGTGCATCAAACCACGTGCTTGCGCATCTGCTGTGAAGCGCCGTCCGATGTGGTGTCTAGGGCTTCCGGAGGTCTTCAACTACAATCGAGTCTTCACAATGCGCAACAAAGACTGTACAAACCCTAAGCCGAAAATATATGCAGCTGAACCACTACGCACCTTTGCTGTATACATGCGCAGATGAATAGATGAAGTAAGCAGCATAATTTCAGCAGTCGGAGATGTGAATTCCTTCAGATCCAGAAAGGAACAACATCTTGATGGTAAATCCAACAATTGAACCATAACGCCCCCTTTGTTGAACCCAGACTCTGTCCATCAATAACGCCCCTAAACCCTAAACCCCTAAACCTGCTGAGCTCTGGACCCTAGGTTTCCTTGAAGCGAGCTCACGGGATCCAGAATGCAAGTGCAGCTGCCTTTGCGGGCCCTCACCAGCTTCTTGCGATCCACGTTGAAGAACCGTAGATCCTAGTGATCATGGGAAGGCGAGGGGAAACAACGAATATGGTCTAGTAGTTATACAACGTTTTCCCCCCTGCACACACCAAGGGACACCGATTTCGAGCTCGTCGTGGTCATCCAGGTTGAGAGCTTCATAAAGCATCTCCTCAGCCAGGCACTTCAGCGCTAGGGCTCCAGGTACTGGAAGCTTTTTGAAGTGGAGAGGACCGGTTCAACCGGACATACAGGACAACGTGGATTAGCTCGAGTGATGTCATCCGTGCCAGCGACGACATCTTCACACACTGAAAGGGCCCTGGGACAGCACAACAACTTCAAAGGACTCTGACTCAGAAGCTCAAGCCAACCTGGCCTCTGAACATCCGGAAAAACGTCCTCTTCAAGTATGGAATGCGAAGGTCTCCACGAGACTCTACAAGCAGATCAGCAAGGCGCCTCTTTCCCGGATTGCCAGCCGCATCGACGAAGATTTTTCACGAACGCAGGCCTGCGATTGACTGAGCCACCCTCAGTTCTGTCCGTCTCTAAGTCTCCCTCTGTCGCGTGCTCTCTGTCTCACCCTCTCTTCTTCTAGTGTTTACTCGGCTCATCAAGCAGGCTATTGCGTTCTTGGCCGCTAGCCCTCTTAGCGAGTCTAGCTTCGCCGTACAGTCTCATGGCAAGTCTGCAAGGGCTTTTTGTGTGCATGTGCTGTGCGTGTGTACGTACGTATTTACGCCGCAGACCAGCTGATATGCATGACAGCAGAGGCGCTGATTGGCGATCCCGAAGCCCTGCGACAGCTCTTCCAGCATCGCGCGCTCGTCGCCGAACCTTGGCCCCAAATCACGGCAACTCTAATAGCTATCGAGGTTCATCTGGTGTCTACCTTATCTATCTATCTGTCCGCCTGTCTGTCTAGCTACCTATCCGTCTGTCGACCTGTCTATCTGCCTTCTTATTACTTACTTGCTACTTACAGTACCTGATCATCTACGTATCTTCCTACCTCCCTACCTACCTTGTTGAACCCAGGCACGGATTCTGCATCAGAAACCTACCTACCATTACCAATCTACCACCCTACCAACCTAGGACCCAAACACTTCGCCCTTTTTAACAAACACCCCCCTAATAATAATAACAATACATTGGGGCGAACCGGCGAACCCTCCCGAAATCATCCCTGCCCTTTAAAGCCTCTTCTGAATGAAGAAGGCGGGTTGAGGCTCCAAATACCAAGAGAGCACAGTAAGGGCAAGAGCAAAAGCAAGAGAAGCAGCGAGAGCAAAGCAAAAGCAAGCAGGACCAGGCGCCAGAGACGCAGCAGAAGCAGGAGCAAAAGCCAGCTCTAGAACAGTCAAAGTAGGAGCAAGAGCACAACCCCTCAAAAGCCGCAATAGAGATAAACATACCCCTAATCTACGCAGGCAAATTCACACCGCTGCTAGTCCTAAGAGTTCGGAGTCTCTACAACGATACTTCTGCTTTTGAAGGAGCCTCGAGGGCCCGAAATTCCTAGCCATCCGACAAAACCCCGAGCCCCCTCCGGCTTGGGATGGACCTGCAGCTCCGAGCTCTTGCATTCTTTCCAGGAGCCTTACACCCCAAACCCCGAAGTTTCTCCCAACGGCGGTTATTTCCAGGGCGCACTTTCACGCACCACATTCGGAAGCCCATCCAAATGTCTGACGTCGCTGGGTCGATCTGGTCGAAGGTCAGCTCCTGTAAAGGGCGGTTTTATATTACTCTGTAGTGAACTATAGTATACGATTGTATTGTAGGAGCTTGGCGATGCTTTACCATCTTGCCCTGAAGTCGAAAGTTGCGGACACTGAATCAAACACTCTGTCTCGCGCCAGAAAGTCTAGGCAGCAGTGCCAGAGCGCCTGTGGCGCATGCATTCGTGCGCTTGCATGTGCATTGGTCTTCCTGCTCTTGCGCATACAGGTCAGGGCGCGAACATGGGACCTTGCAGGTATAGTTACCGAAGTACTACACAGCATTATCCAGCGATTCCAGTTCTATGCTCGGGCCCCTTCAGTTTCTGAACCTCCCTTGTCCAAGTAGGCCAAGTGTCCTCCAGCTGGTCTGTGTCGAGGCGCCGGAAGAGCAGATCGGCATCCCCTGTTGCAGTTTCAACCCAAGGGTCAAACTACCTTCATGTAATAGAAGATAATACGCCTTATAAAGTAGCTATACGGGAGCTCCCTGAAGGCCTAGCTGTATTTCTCTTCATCCATGGACTTAAGGTCGGAGCTGGGAACTCCTGCTAGGGAATGAGAGTGTCAGAGTATAAGACCCTTTTCCAGTTGGATCCTGTCTATCACAGGTGCAATTTAAAAAAGACTATGTATGTGCGTATATATATATATAATATGAATATATAATATATATATATGTATATATATATGTATATATATACACACATACATATGTGTGTTATATGTATGTACGTATATTGTATCTCCAGTTGTGTTCAAGTGCTCTTGTTCTTGGCTTTTCCTCACACGCGAAAGAGAGCGGCGGTTACACGATAGCGGCCTGCAAGGGAGTGTTTGTGGCTGAAAGAATATGGAGCAACCATCATACATATATAATATCATATATATATGTGTGTGTATGTATGTATGTATGTATGTATGTATGTATGTATGTATATATATATATGTATGGTGCCCCCACGATGCCATCCTCTTTTCTTTGTTTTGGTGTGTGTTGGCAATACTGTAGGCCTAAACTTGTTGCGGTGGCTCTTGGGGAGATGCCCTATAAACCCTAAGCAGCCCGATCAAGAGAAAGACTGCCATGGGTTCATAATCGGCCCCACCTCTACTTTACGTGTAAACTGTACCGAAACAATGATGACTTCCGTTGAGGAACGTCCGAGCTGCGTCCCTCAAGGACCACATGACCCTTAAACAAAAAAAACTTATACCGTATACCCTTACACGATGATCCCCCAATTGTATATGAACCTTAAATCCTTTTAGGGTCCCTTTCGTCTGGTGTAATCGGAGCGCAGAGGTTCCGGATAGGAAAAAGCTTCGCTAGTTTGAACAGAAGTTGGGGTAATCTTGTTATCCCTGTGGCCGAAGAACCTACTGTTGAGAACGGAGGTTGTTCGAGGCCACAAGTATTCTTGCCTGGGCTATGGGGCATCTCAGTACAAAAGCCTATGACCAGGGGCGGCAAGTTATAGAGCGAAGTATTTAAGGTTCGGTTCTTCCTATAGATCCTAATATTTCGGGGGTTCAGGAGCAGAGTTTTTCAATCAGCTTCCCACAGTATCCAATTCAGGTGCGTCTTAGTGATCAGAACTACGGCAGTATAGTAGCACGGGGATTGTAAAGGAAAGTTATTGCTAATTATTCAGGCCGCTGTACGTACGTCCTTCGTCCCAACTATAAACACTATAACAATGAGGGAAATGTCTCTTTTGTTCTTGAGTTTCAATGAGGAACCCCACCCAAAACACAAACAAAAGGGATAACAGGGTGCGACTGGAGGACCAGGTCATAGTCCCATGCTCTTTTAAAGCCCTTACAGATCAAATAAAGCAGCCCACTGCAAGCAGAGTACACCAGTGTCTCAGCTACGTTGGCTTCTGCTCTGTCTGCAGCACATGTAGCAAATGTAGCACTTGCTTTCGCCTAGGTGACAAATACTGGCGCAACCATGACGCAGCAGACGCACGTGAATGTAGACGGCAACGGCTCATTGGCACGGTCATGGTGCAGCATTCTTTGCAACCTACAGTAGATGACGGTTGTTTATACGCAAGAACACACAAAACAGCGAACCGGTAGGTACCGGAAGGGGGGGGTAGCATATCCTGTGTATGTATGTATGTATGTATGTATGTATATATATATATACACACATACATACATACATACATACATACATACATACATACACCGCTTGCGGAAACTCCCATGTTTTCGAAACTTGAACCTCATTAGGCTGCAGTCTTGAATGACAAGATCAGAAACAATGCCGGAAGAGACTGCGCTCCTGAACCCATAATCCCAAAGCCCTAAACCTTGTAAAAGTCTAAACTGTAAAGCCTTTGTTTGAGTCACGGTCTGCGGCCGGCTCGTTGAGACTGCATTGTGCCGTAAAGCCTTACCTTCCTTGACCCTTAACCCTAAACCCAATCCCTAGAACTTTAAATCTCCAAACCTCGCGAGGCGCACACCAAGCCTGGATAGCGCAGGGACTTCATTCCGGCGCAGAACTGTTGGCGGCTGATCTGCCTCTCCTTTCATTCTTCGGGTCTCTGCAAGGTCCAGGGCTTGGGACAAGTTTAGGGCCTAAGGTTTAGGGTACCGCATGCTTCCAGATCCGATACAGTAGCATGCTCGGCAGATGCAGAAATGATGCGGAATCTGCATCCAGAGACAAAAACACCTCGTCTGACCAATCAAGGCGCATAGTGGCGATCAAAGTACTGCACCCAGACGCGAAGAATATTTCCCTCCTGAGTCTGAGGCGGTATGTGTAACCCGAAATTATGCCCGAAACTTTGCAGCTTCCAGAATAAAAGTAAGGACGGGTCTGAAGCTCTGAGGTGAGAGTACAGCAACAGCAATTTTAGTAGGACCGCGGCCAAACCAAATGGCTCGGGGATTTAAGCTAAGGCTGTTTTGGCCTCCTACTTCACGTTTGCTTTAATTTCATAGATGTGATTGTATGCTTCGTTTTAGCTGTAGCCATAACTACGGGTATAGCTATGATCTAGGGTATGGGGTGCTGGTATGGGGTGTCGGCGTACAGTTCATCGTAGGGTGCATCGTGCGTGCAGAGGGTAGACAAGTTTACTATGAAGGACAGACAAGAAGCAAGCGGAAGTGGCTGGCGAATACTCTGAAATTCTTCGAACCCGTCAGAGGGTGATCGTGCAGAAGGTACCGGAAGGATTTATTCCGTCTTAGCCAAGGTAGGCCCTTCTCGTGGTAGACTATAGACCCTCTTACAGCAGGGCTATGCATATGCCAGGACCCGAAGCCTTCAACCCTCATTGCCACGCCCATTTCCCTTCTCGCATGGCTGAGGACCTATGCCCACTAGCGAGGTCGGTTGTGGTGTACAAGAAGACTGTGCTAGACGAAGTTGATCGGTCCATGATGGTCCTAGCCCTAATTAAGCCTCAACAAGCATCCAGGATCACCATCGTCATCAAGATCATGCGATTCTCACTGTGTTTGAAGCAACTGAAAAATTGAAAGCTCGAAGCACCCTTAGCGCCACTCCCCATTTAGGGTATTTAGGGTTTAGGGGTTTATAGTTTAGGGGTTGAGGGTTTAGGGTCCCAGCCGCCGATTCCAGTAAGCTCTTCAACGTCTCTAAGGCCTTGTCCCGCTCCTGGGCAGCTCGGGATATGAGAGTGGGCAGGTGTTTGATGGGAGAATACAGGGCTTCGGATCCCCCAAAACGGGGCCGAAATCATTGCCAGCACTTTTTTGGGGGTTCCTGATTATAAGTCTGGTATACTTTGCCCTATTCTAATGGGAGGCGGTCTTGGGGTTCCAGACGAGGTTAAATACCTCCGTCCTGAAATCGTACTGTAGCCTGCTCTTCCGGCGATAAGACACACACACACACACACCACCCTGCGCTGCAAATCTCTGCGGTACAGCACTCGTGCCCAGTAGTGAAGTCGTCAACATGATGCTTGTGCTTCCTGGAGTGCATGCCTCTGTTTAAACAACCGGCCTTCGCCAATTGTTTGGCATGTCACTTTCTCCTGTCGTACACATGTCGGATGTTTGAAACTGTATTGGTCTTCCCATGCCCATAGCCGAACAAACACCATCAACTGGAAATCCAAATCTCCACCTCTTGAGCCTGATGCATGTATGCTTGAAGAGCAGGCCAAGCTCTATAAGTTCCAAAGCTCTCAACAGCTCAAACCCGACAGCCGATATCTGCGAAAATCCTGGTAAATCCAATTTCTAAGCCGAGAACCTAAGCCAGAAAGCCACAACAAGCTCGTCCAAGCGTCTTTGAGCGCATGCTGGTGTTTCGGATCGGGCTTCCCTCGCCCACTTCGGCCCCGCCGCAAGGGCATCGCTCAGGCAGCGCCCTTATGGCCCGATTTCCAGCATCCCATCCAGCAAACAGGAGTCCAAATAGAAGGTCCCTTACACCATGGCGTACTAGATAGAGGGTCCCTGATACAACTGGGTGAAGTCATTTATACTATCCAATCAGTCTTGTAATCCCAGGGTAATTCTGAAGGGCCTCGTGGATGGGGGGTTCCGAGCTGTGAGGGGTCTTTGGGCTTTCGGGGTCGGAAATCTGAGCTTGGAGACTCGGAGGCTGATCCCTTTTCTGGAGCGGCTTGAACCCGAAACCCTCTACACCCTCGGGGTTCGGGTAGCTTCATGGGGTGGTTGCTGCTCTTCCTTTGTCAGGAAATCCCACGAAGAGCCCACGTCGCAGGACACAAGTCGGTAGTGAGATTGGAGTACAACTCTGCCATTTTAATTTGGCTCTGCGGGCCCATCGGGGTGATTAAGCAAAAAACAGACAGCCTGCACTGCTAGTGCAAGGCTGCAGAATAAGGCACTCCGCAAGTCCACGAGCGGCCTTGGCCAACTACTAAACCCATCGCTTCCCAGCTTGGCATCTTATTAGATTTGGCCCTGTATACCTGCCACATCTTGCAGCCATACGTGGGGTTACAGTGAGCACCATGTAAGCCCAAGATAGCGAATATCAAGGAAAAACAGAGCATGTGTTCAGAGCATGGACAAGGATTATCAAGTAACGCTATGCAACCGGCAGACGTTATGTACATGATATCCATCCATCCATCTATCCATTGATACGCCTATCCATCCAGCTTTCTTTCTTTCTGTCTATTCGTCTATCTGTGTACATATCTACCTATCTGCCGATCTACCTATCCATCCATCTCATCTGTCTATCTGGAATCCAGAACCTAGCTGTTCTACTCTGTAGATACATACATGCTCTCTGGCATGTGTATATGTTATGTTCACATGAACATGTATAGGTATATATACACGTATGAACATGGTAACACGTTGCCTTCCATGTCTGGCAGGGCCTTAGCTCGCGGACTCGCTGACGCTCGCGCCTATTTCAGCACGAACTGGAGCTGTGCTTGAGCCGCAATATGCGGGTTTCCCAAAATAGGGGACCCTAATATAGTACCTTAAACAGTAGGATCCTTATTATAAGAACCCCGAAAAAGGGTACCCCTTATTTTCGGAAACTCCCATATCGACGAACTTGCGGTTGAAGGACCGTGAAAACCCATGCCATGCCTGCCTTCATCGTGCATCTTATCCCTGTTGTTGTGTTCTGCATTAACCAAGGCCGGTGATTCTGTGTGAAAGGCTTCCACGAGGTTGCTGGCACAAGCAGACATTGAACCTTCGGTACTATACCATCACAGTTCTGATACCTGCATGCCCACGGCAGGGGGCTTCCCGGCTGCTGGGCAGGGGATTTCAGTGCTCACACTGGAGCTTGCCAACCATGGCCAAGTAGTTTCAACCGGAACTGCTGAAGCTTGGGGCTATCCGGGTCAAAGCGGCCCCCCCGACTTTCCTCTCACACGAGAGCCTCTCACAGACCCGGTCAGTCCCAACCCTGAAACCGGGAGCCGGCCCTTGCGATACAAAACCACACGTCGCCTGTCCAACCTTCCCTCGCTTCATCCCAAACCTGGGATGAGGGATAGCTTCTGAACCCGATGTCTGTTTGTGCGCTTGCACTTCTGTAATTGTAATTGCGGAACAGGGCGGGATGATGAACATACAGATTCGGCATTGCTTTGTTTGGTCTGTCGAAGTCTGTACGCGCAGGGCTCAGTTTGGGTTGCGATTGTTCGAATGGTTGGCTATACACCTCAGCATACCAAGCCTTGAAGTGACGGCCAATGTGAGCAACAGCTCCTTCCAAACAATGAATTTCGTTTCTGATATCTGGCCTAATATTGTCGTTTCATCTCGCTGTCCACTTCGGGTTATGTCAACGACTGAACTCACAGGAAAAATGCTCATGACGTCTCAACACACCGGAAATTGGAAAGTTGTGAATCACACCCACAAAACTCAACTGTGCTTTAAATGGCGGGTTGGAGGCTGCCTGCTGGAAGCTGGCCTTCAACCACAAGCAATGGCTCTGATCACAAGGACAGTGAGTCTCAAGAATCCAAAAAACTTCACCGGCCAATCGTCATGGCAACTATGCAACCTCTCACCTACACGAGTAATTTGGAATGCCTTAAAAAGACACCCTGGTACTATGAATTGAACGCTGCGTTTCAACGCCAAATATGTGCTCCTGTTCTCTTCACAAGACCCATGTATATAAAAGTGCAGCTGAATTCAAGATTACTTCGAAACGAGGTCTTGTCATCGTGTCGGGAATCTTTGTAGGCGAAGCCGAAGGTCCGGAAATGCTGCTGCCTGCATGGGGTGCCGCTGAAGGGGTCGTGGGCTTGGACCATCTTCGGTCTCAAGGTCGAACTTGGCGGTTCCTGATAACATCTGACAACTGTACCACTCTGATATTGCGGCAAGAAAGCGAGTACTTCTTCCAGTTGCAACTGCAAGCGGGGCCACAGGACCGACACCCTCAAGCCTCATGCTCTACGCAGCCTCAGTCCCCAGCTCTATGTCAGTAGGGCCCCAGAACTTCTCGAGAAGACTCGCGCGAAGCACTCCCAAGCCTCCCCAACTGGGCAGGGATGCCCTGAGTCGTCTCAAGGACTCAGCCTGAATGGGAAGAAAATGGACTCTGCATGTCTGGGGTGGAATTCTCTATAGGGCTTCTAAGTATTTAAAGAAAGGTTGCGGGATTTCAGGCCTCTGAGCTTTCGAGTCTTGCTGCCGACTTTGAGGAGAAACTCCGTACTGTAGGCGTTTGCTTGTCCGTCACAGGCAGCGCAACAACTTATCATCGCTGCACCGTCTTTGGCCTCTGCATGGCCTGTACATCCGACCCCCTTTCCCAAAACCGAAATGACTCAAATCTGTACACAAGGAGCTAATGCCCGAAGTCACCACGTCGTTTACATACAGGGGCCCCTGTTTGGGGCTATGGCCACATCTTGCAGAGACGACGGCGGGGTTGGGCCACCTTCTGATCGCCACCTCCGCCGTTCACATGTTGGAGGTTCTAGGCGCCAGCTCGGAGTGTAAGGGTTTGGGCATTCACGAACTCTTTCAGATAATGTCGTCAATGGTGGAGTTGGTTTAAGGACTTGTATAGGGCTGCTGCAGTGGACCACGCCTTAAATCTGCTGCCGGTCATGCAAGATGCATCACTCTTCATTGCTCCTCCGTCTCTGCAACTCCCACGTCGTAAATACCAGAGACTACGCTGGTCTTCGCGATCAGCTGCCACAATCGAGCATGCAAGGGGTCTGTCGATCTGCCTGGTATGCACGACGCCACGACGCACGAAAGTCTGCAAAACTAATACCCCTCAGACATGGATACCCTCACTTACCCATCCATGTGTGCATGCATGGTTATATACAGGCATGTATATTTCAATGTTTAGGAAAACTCACGTGTACACGCAGATGTTTCGACAGTGCCCTCTCGAGTCAAGCCCGACCTGCTGATAGCTTCGACGAGGCCCAGCATCTCTGCTTCTTCCAGAAAGGCCGACTCCAGACCTATGAGGGTTTGGAGCCCTAAACCCTAAACCCTCTTGGGCAGTTCACTGGGCTTTCGACTCTAAAGGCTTCACAAATTGGCACAGTATATCATTTCTGCAACAGCGTCATGGCGACGCTCAACGCACCATCCTGCAGCGGCGTGTCAGTTGCACCAAGCTTCTCCGCCCGGCTCTGAAACTGAACTCGTGTTCTGCATCTGAAGCTGTCCTGTCAGGTTTTCCCGACCTCAAACCCTCCGGCCTCCGTTTGAACCACGCCTCTTCTCAACTTGCCGAGGAACCCATCAGGAAGTCGGCCCAGGGACCGGGCAGCCAGGGTGGAGGATGGGGGAGGTAGCCGCTGATCGGAAGCCTCTGCGTCTCTTTGGGAGTTCAACTTGGGCACTGATGAAGATAAGGACGGCCTGGCTTTTCCGGGCTCCTCGCTTTGTGCGTACCTGCGCCTTCAAGCGGCCCAAGGGTTCGTTCCTAGGAAGCTCAATGTCCATGCTTTTTCTACACTGGGCTACTTAATCCCGAACACTAGCAGAATAGTGATAGTGATTAGCATGCCAAACAACAACAGCAGCAGCAACAACAACAACAACACCAACACCAACACCAACACCAACAGCCAGAGCCAGAGCCAGAGCCAGAGCCAGAGCAAGAGCAAGAGCAACAGCAGCAACAACAACAACAACAAGACCACCAACAACACCAAGACCACCAACAACACGAAGACCACCAACAACACCAAGACCACCAACAACACCAAGACCACCAACAACACCAAGACCACCACCACCACCACCACCAACAACAACAACAACAACAACAACTCAACGAAATGCTCTGTTCCCGCCAGCACCCACTCAATGTCTAGCATATATAGACTGCTAACCTTTTTTTGCCACGGGCTGCTCGAACTGCCAGTTTTATTTGACAATCAGGGCAGGATCTGCTGACAGCTTGAATGTGTCGACTTGTGGTTTATAGAGGTGCTTTCTCAATACTGAGCCCTCGTCAAGCAATGCATTGAAGACCAGAGCAAGAGATGTGAAATGCGAGCATCCAAAATCTAACAGATTACACCTGTTACGCAGCCAGGACTCAAAGACTGAAACCGGTGTAGTGTCCAACACGTGTGGAAAGTGTGAGGAACTCTATGCACAGTCTTGTTCACATGAATTCGGTTTAACAGAAGCTGTGCAAACATATGTGAAAGAACCGGATGCAGACATGCCACCGCTGTGCTTCGGCGGGCAGGGCTGTGAGAATGCCATGTGCCTCCACACGAACTTGTTCTGGAGCAACTGGTGCGGTTCCAGCCTCTGCGGCCTGTCTCTACGGTTTGGGGTATCTGGCTCTCATGCTTGGCAAGCTTTCAGAAGCCCCATGGCGTGTCAAGATCTCAGCGGGCAAAGCTCTTGTACTGACCGCAGGCTCTGCCTGAACACGCGGTGACGCTTGCAGCTTCCACAGCTGATGATTTTGCGAAGTGCAGCCCAGCGGGGTGCCAAATGTAAAACCCAGAGCTCAGTCCGCGACAGTCACGTTCAATTTTTAAGATTCCTGGGGGTATCGACTGGCGCCCCAAACGAAAATCATTCAGGCGCCAGCAGAGTATAGGCTTCTCCAGGTTTTGTTGGGGTGGTGTTTATGCGCTGCTCAAGCTTGTGGCTCCTTCAGACCGAAACCAGTTATCATGTTATCGTGGCATTGCAAAGCCTTGCATCCAACCGACACGGCAAACATGTGAAGCACAAACGAAAGCGAGCGTGCGAGTTAGCATATGTTTTGGTTTTTGCTTGTGTGTTCGAGGGTTCTGGATTTTGAGATGTATATGGCTTCAGGGGTTGGGAGACTGCACGGCATTAGCCATCACGACGGACTTCGTGACTTAGCAAGCCGAAAGCATGATTTGCAATGACAGCCATGACGGTGATGATAATGATTCTCAGGGCTGTAACAGGAAAACCTGAGCACACATGAAAGGCTGGTTCTGGGGTGGCCCTCATCCAAACCTAGAGTCTAGAGGAGTTCTCTAAACAGCGATGCGGCCAGCCTCATGACATCTTTGATTCTGTCAACCATGAACAAATCTTGTTCCTGTCCGGTCCGCATGTTGGCATTCCAGTAGATTCCAGATATTGTCGGGCTGGTGATCCTACCTCGCGCAGTTGTTCCGCTGCGGGCGACACGGTCCAAGCGCGGCGCACCTCCTGGGGAATAGTGGTTAAAGAAGTGGACTGAGTCGGGGAATTAATTTGCAAGCTGGCCCTTCCCAGCCCTTCAGCAGCCTAGGACCTTGGATTCCAAACCTGGGAATTCCCGGATTCGGCCTCGGGGCCTCAAGGTAAGCAGTTCAAAGGTTTCTGCGAAGTCCTCCGAGACGCTTTGGACGGCTGCGCTCGCAAACAAGGCGGCAGCAGTGACAACGAGACCTGCGCCGTGGCTGTGGCCAGACCAGCCAAGCAACCACAAGATCCACGGAAACGTTTGGGCAACATGGTTCTAGTTCTCTAAATTGGAGGGGTCCTAAAAGGGATCCGAATTTAGAGAACTACCCAAATGCATTTTTGGCTCAGCGGCCCAAGGCAGGTCAAAATTTCATGCTTCCCCATCATGGCGGGCTCAGTCGACCCGGAACACGTTTTGGTGGCAGCCTGCCTCTCCCGGCACATCCCGAGAGGCGGATTGCACGGCGCGTCCATGGCATGAAGGCACAACTCCGCAGGAGCCCAGCGGCCCATCTACTTGGTAGGTTGCTGTCCCTGTAAAATTAGCCAGTATATAGGTATATCTACGGGCTTCTAGGGACCACCAGATTCCTGCCTGGGGCCTCAGGCCCAGAGGGTTGTTGGGGAGACGCCAGTAATTGAGTTTATCTTCCGAAACATGTTTGAAGTGCAACCTTCTGACATGCTGCGCCTCACTTGAGACGGCAAGGTGATACCGAAACAAAGCTACCATTGAACAGCCGCCTGTCCAAAGCAATGCACTATCACTCGTGGAGTTCGGGCGTGGTTGTAGGCAATTCCTTCCGTTCTGTGGGTTGTTTGCCTGGCTACGTCGCTTGTGTCTGCTAAGGGTGAGTCGTCTTAACAAGTAGGATACAAACGTTCCCGAAGTCAGCACTGGCTCGAATGAGCTCCCTCAGAACACGGGGTCTTCGACTGTTGAAGACCGAGCCCTGGTCTATATTTGGGGTCCTTACAATAAGGATCCTACTATTTAGAGTGCTATTTTAAGGTCCCCTATTTTCGGAAACCCCAGTATGCACACCGCATGGGTCGGGTGAGAAAAAACTATGTGCAAACCGTCTTCGTGAATATTCTGAGTGGGGTTGCAGGCTGAAAGCTTAGACGAGCTCCTGGCTGGTGCAAGCCCTTTATGGGACTACCTCATTATTATTACCATTACTATGATTATTGTTATTACCACTGCTTCTGTTATTTTATCATTACCTCACAGGCTAGTTCACAGCATGCCGGATGAAACATTATTGACACCCTCTGCACTAAGCATCGCGCCCAATTGAAACATACTGCAACTCAAACCTACGTGATCCCAAGCGCTTTAATGCATATTCCATGACCCCCAAATTCAAACGGCCCAGCCAACGCCAAAGTCTGAGCCAAGAGCTGCCAGCGTACCTTGGACCAAGCTTGTTATGGGTATTGCGCGCCTAGCGTTTAGGATGGTGTTGGGTTGGACTCTCGCACTCGGCCCTCCCGGCACGGCTGCTAAAACCCTTCGTGCAGCAAAGAGGGACTGTGAAAGCTGATGGGGCTTGCTTGATTTCTACGAGAAAGCACTGCTTGGTATCCGATTCCAGTTCAGGGGCATTGTCACTGCCACTCACCTCGTGTCCGAGATTCCCAGCCGGTATCTAAAACATTCTGGTCTCCTCCAAGCTTCCCTCATGTTAGCATGGCATCCCCGGTCTCTGATCTGCAAGCTGCGCTCCCAATTACTTCTGCGTCTGGTGACCCCGAGCTAATCACCGAACTTTTGGCAGGCATGGTCCCGGTTGTTGAGGGTCGGAGTCGTCTCACCCAGTCTTCTGGGCGCCGCCCCATTTTCTCGTTGATCTGCAGGCTGCACTCCAGAAGTTCGTCCTGCACGATAATCCCGAGGTTTCGGAAAGCATTGCCGGGTGTGGTCAGGGTCGTGGCGTGCCACTTCCAGGTGCTCTGCACCATGAAGGTCTCAAGCTCCACTGTGCAGTGCTCTCCCATTGCAAGGTGCGTGTGAGGGGCCAAAGCCTTGCCCTGGTGGATCTAGGGCTCTTGGTCTTAGTTAGCACACTTGCTTGCGGTTTGCGGTCTCTGGGGTTCTCGAGAGGCTTATTCAACCCTAAACCCAATTGAGTCTTGAACATACTTTGGGGTGTAGCTGAGTGCCGAGCTGGGGCGCATCATTGGTGGCGTTGCTGCAACTGGCCTGCCGTCATCATCTTGATGATGAAGATGATGATGATGACGAGGGTAGTGCTCATGATGATCAGAAGCATCATATCACCAGCAGCAGCAGCAGCGGCGGCAGCAGCAGCAGCAGCAGCAGCACCATCATCATCGTCGTCATCGTTGAACATGCATATATGCATGCCAGTTTGGTTTAAAGTCGGAATCCCACTGCTGACTTTCGTGCCCCATGATACCTGATGCCGTGATGCTCCGATGTGATTCGGACCCTGAAAGGATGATACATGTAGTATATGCATGTATGCATACTACAGTCTATCCGCTGATATACGTACCAATCTGTTTATTAACGGTCTATCTTTCAGCTATCTATTTACTCGACCTCTTCATCTGTCTGTCTGTCTCTGTCTGTCTGTGTCGCTGGGTTCGTGTGCGTGTCGATCAATTCATCTGTCGGTCTGCCTTTCGGTCTATCCATCTGTCCATCCATCCATCTATCAATCGATCTACCTACCTGTCTAAAGCCTATCAACCCATCTCTTATTTGTCCAACTGTGTGTCTGCCTATCTATGCATCTATCTGAATCTATCTATCTATCTGCCTCTACATCTGTCTGCTTCTCTGTGGCGAGTTTCCCAAGCTCCGAGGTAGCAAAGCCTGTAAAGCTGTCTGGATCTTAGTGTTCTAGCATCGACCTCGTCCAGGGGGAATCCTCTTACTTCACAAATCTACCAAGTCAACTGGCCAGGGTATGTTGCGTTGTTGAAATCACGCTTCTGAATGTGTTGAATGCAAAATTTCGGAACTCTAAAGCTGGGTGCCTAAACCCTAAGCCCATGCCTTTGCAATCGATACCTATGTTGCTCTTTCTAATGTCTACAGTAGCTGGATCCGATATGGGAGTTTGTTGAGGATCAGCTACGAAGATGAACCTCATCTCCTAAACCCTAAACCCTTAACCTGAGATCCCGGAATTTAAGCAAGAAGAGTCAACAAGCCGAGGCGGACCGGCAAGGTGACACGGATCTGGGCGGCGGCGATGTGGCCTGCACTCTACAGACTTTCTGTTTTGGGGGGTGTCGAGTTCCGAGCTCAGGATCCTTAGGGTTTGCTTACATCTGAGAGAGCGAGAGAGAGAGAGAGAGAGAGAGAGAGAGAGAGAGAGCGAAAGAGACAGAAAACACAAACACAAAACAGAGAAACCCAGTGCTTGTCATTCTACTCTACGCCCTGCAGCGTGAACCTTCCCTTGAACCATAAACCTGCCAAGCCTGAAGCCACGAACCCTCCAACATTTTTTATTCTACAGGGATTGAAACTGGGAGCAGCTCATCCCGAGCAATAAGTTTCTCTACATGGCTTGGGTTGGGATTTAAAAACACAAGCATCGAATCGGGGCCATTGAGTTCTCATCGCTGGGTCTTATACTTCTATAAGAAGCAAGAAGGTCAAGGGTTCGGGTTTCGACTCACACACTCGCACAAAGCAGGCATGGCGTTCGACGGTTCGGGTTTAGGGTTTAGGGTTCACGGATGGAAGTATTTGCCAATTACCTGAGCTTCTGAGCCGAATCTCGCGCCCCGATGACACACCCTGAAACTCTGCGAAATAACGCACAAAAACCACAAAAAACGCGAGAAGCCTCGACTACAGCACTTGATTTATGTGTGTATATGTACATACATACATA